AAGGAGTAAAAAGTTAGATATGTAAGCATGCAAATAGAACAGAGGAAGCATGACGACCTGCTAGGAAAATCCATTCAGTGTTCTTGTCCATTTATCACATGTCTTTTTTATATTCCATTTTTTCAATCATATGGTTCCTTTTTCCTTTTTAATTTTAACAAAAACACAGTGACAACTGTACATTCATATATACTCTCAAACGCACTTACATATTTGGGACAGTCGCAAAAATACTATTTTTATATATATATTTACAAAAAAATATCATTTAGAGGTATTCATTTTAAAAAATACCACTAATTATGGATTTTTAAAACATAATCTTAAAATTATAAACTCTAAAATGTTGTGAACCCTAAAATCCTTTAAACCCTCAAAATTAAACCCTAATTCAACATAATTAATCAAAACATAAATGATATAATGAATTTTTTTTTATAAAAAATAGCATCTTTGCAAAGATTTTGGAAAAGTGACATTTTTGAAAAATCGTATTTTTAAAAATTTCTCTACATATTTTATATGCAAACAATATATTAGCTTTTTTGAGTTTAAGAGACATGTCTCTGTGGTCTAGAGATAAAATAAAATTTAAAACCGAGAATATGGATTTAAAAATAGATTATACAAAATCATGAATTTTTTTCATTTGGAAAGAAAGTGAATCAATGCAATGAAAGAAGTTTATCGAGCGATGAAGACATAAAAAACTTGGATGATGGTTTCGAACTAAAACGGATTTTCTGTACTGTGTTTCATTTTGTGTTCGCCACCACACTTGAGGGTGTAATTCAACAATAAATAATTTACATGCATGCAATAAATTAAATATTAGTCTTTTTCAAAAAAAAAAAAATTTAAATATTAGTACCGCGTGCAACACAAATCATACGGTTCATATTATACATATATACAAGAATCATTTTTTTTTTGTCAATGTACGATTACTTACTCTGGTTTTAAGTCAAAAAAGAATTATGTGGTATAATCTTATAGAATAATAAAATTTCAAGCAATTAAAGAGATGGTTTTGGCTATTCAAATTTTGGTTCGGATCAAAAGAGGTGGTGACCTAGTTCAAACTTTTTTTTGAGACGAAAGGTTATTCATTAAATCATAATATCTAAAAAATTATGAGTTAAAATTTAAAATTCACGGTTTATAAAAAAAAAATTTGATTTGGTTATTCCCTCCATTTTCTTATTCTGTAGTAACCACATTTTGTTTGTCCATTCCATTTATTGGGTATCATTACCATTTAAAACATATATATTAAAAATAAGAGGTTAGGCTTTACAAAGTTTCTATAATCTTAATATTTTCTTACAGCCTTAAAACTTACCAATCATGCTTATATATATTCATTTTG